ATCCCGCCCACCGCCTTGTTCTCTCTCACTGCCACAGAGCCCTCTCCCAAGTCCTGCCGCCGCCATGTGATGTCGCATTGATACGTATATACAGGTAGCATACATTTTCAAGGCTCACCTCCATTTCAGATCCACTGACATGTGCCGCAAAAACGCCTTGTTTCCTCTGACGACCACAGAGCCTCCTGTCACGTGCTGCCGCCGCCACTTCAAGTCGCACTGATATGTTGTTACCGGTAACATAGATTTCCTATGGTAACCTCCATTTCAGAGCCACTGACATCCGCCGCCCACCGCCTTGTTTCCTCTCACTACCACAGAGCCTCCTGTCACGTACTGCCGCCTCCCCACAAGTCATGCCGCCGCCATGTGATGTTGCATTGACACGCAGTTACTGGTAACATCGATTTTATATACTCACCTCCGTTTCAGAGCCATCGATATGCACTGCGCACTGCGTCCTCACCTAGCGATGCCACACAGACTGCGTCCACGTCGTGCAGCCGCCATGCGGTGTTCCATTGATACGTAACTTTAGGTAACATTTAATTCGCTCATTTATCTCTCCTCATTTATTTTTTAGATTTCGTATGACGTACGTGCATCAGACCTATCTTATCATAGCACCTTGTCCGGTCTTCCTTCGCCTTCCAATTACCACACTATTAGCATTCCTTGGCGAACGGAGCAACGGCCCTTTTCAGGGCCACCCCCTGAATCCGTGTCTTGTCGTCCCACAGCCCAATGGAAGTATGCGAACTACCGCTATCTCCTTGCGGCGGACTACGAGCTCACAGGTTCCGTGGGTGGCTCCGTAATCTTCAGCTCATGTATGGGGGCATTCATACATGGATACGTGTTGGCCACCCCGCGCTGTATGCGAACAAAATCGTCCTCCAAAAACAAACCGGTAAGTTAACCCTTCGCAGCCATTTTCAACCTGTAAGATGTCGTTACATCCGTCCATTATTGCTGAATACTGTTTCTTTAGTGCTCTGACACTTAGCAAGGCTCACCTTCATGAGCCATCCCCTCCTACTGTAACGATAGTTGATGAACCATTTTTCAGTATTCTCGCTTGCTGGGTGATGAGCGTTCCGAACGCTCCCCACTTACACGAGAATATTTGCATATGGTTTGAGCGTCCCGTCTGCGCAATTGTCATATACTCAAACACCGCCTTAACATGGGATTGCCTACTTCAGTACCATGTCACGACCACTTTCAGAATAAACCATTTATATATTCATTTATTGATGTAGCCATGCAAATACGTCAGCATTTTGTGGACAACATCTTGCGCCGAACATTTACATCCCATGTATGACGTTGTGTTACCTCACTATCCAAGACACTAAAGTATAGCCGTATATATCATTAACGTTAACCAAACCGACTATTCTGTTCCAGTTAATACACCCACTGAAGTAGAAATTACGTAGCTTTCGCTGGATGGTTTTCAGATGTACATTTCCTCTACTTCACATGACACCATCGGTTAAGTCAGTCACCCTTAAGGACGCCATATTCTTTGCTCCATACCCACTGCCTCTTGAACCCGCTCGCATAGCATCTATTCCGCTCAGAAATCACCGGATTTCGCAATTACATACCATCAATTCATGCGAACTCCTTTCCCTTGCGTGATTAAAGGCTATAGCATTTACCAAAGGTAAATGCGATTCAATGGATCATCCTATTTATATGTATATGTATATAGCGCAATTGGTTATGCGATATACATTTGCGGTTTATGAATATATGTATGTGGATTTATATATATATATGCTTATACACATACATATATTCATAAACCTCAAATGTTTATCGCATAACCATTTGCGATATGGGATCACTTGCTTACCATGCAAATTACCTATCGGGATATATTTCCCATCTACTATGTCACAGGTATCATGCATAGAGCATGCTTCAGTAAAGAGACCAACACTGCATCCTTATATGACATTCATTTTTGTTACCTTTGTTCTTATCAATCTTGCATACCATAGTCAATAACCCATGCATTTATACACACATGGGCCTTTCAGAGCAACATATATATATACATATATATACATATATAAATAAATAAATAAATAAATAGTTTATTCTCGAATTTGTCGAGACACACCAAGCATGATCAATATTTACGTGCAATATTGCTTCGCAACAAACACGTTGCTATGAGTGTAGTCGGCAGTAAGCCGAAGGTTGTACAGTCTGCGTAAATTGTGTAAGTAGTCATGGGGGATAGTCTTCAATGACTGACGAAACGTTAAATACTGTAGTGCGTAGTGTAAACAGTCATGGCACTACACGTGTAAGGAAAACGATACATATAGGCATGGTTTAAATTATTATTGAAAGTGTCAGGGCAATATTGAATAAGGATTCTGGTCGACTTGCAAGTAGGTAGTTCTGGGCAGTGACTTTATTCAGTGGCGAGTCACATCCGCCACGTCGCAGTGTTGTTAAGCGGACATATGTGGCCCTTTTTAGGGAAGACGCTTGCCAGGCGAAAACCCACCACGTCCTGGAACACTGTCAAAATTGGTTGGTGCACTAATATACAAATGGCAGAACAGGTTTTGACTGATTTCACACTCAGATATCCGCAGTCAAATGACCTTCAATCTTCTCTGTTATTTGAGCAGGTATCTTGGGCAAGGCCGCCATAATGGCTGAGGCGAATCGAGGATGTGGGCTTAATGAAGAATCCTCTTTGTGGGTATCCAGGTAGGCGAAACGTCAGTTTCTTGTGTCTGGATTTTTCAGGAGTATGTAATCTTTTCAGGAGTGTGATGTTATCGAGTCCAGCTATCATAATTGGACAACGGTCATGGTAATGAGTGCAGTTGCAATTTTTGTTGTACTGCCATGTGCTCCATAGGTCCTTATTGGTTGTGCTGTCCCGGACAGAAGCGGTTTCTCGGTCCAATCCCAGATCCCCAAGAAGTTCCGAACCTCGGAGAAAAGGGAAGGTGAGAGACAACCAAGGCCGCAACGAACAGGCGTGGAAACAATCATTGTTAAACTCCTATGTTATAACATCTAGAGTGAAGACAAATGATGTACAATGTGCAGCAATTATTGTGCTAAAAGTGTCTTTTGAATGTTTTTCGGAAGCAGTAGCCCTATAAGTTGTTTGCTACTATCTATAAGGAATACAGAGCGTTGCGCCATTAAGCACAGACGCAGTATCAGTTTACTATGATTTGACTATTGCTTGGAAAGACAGAAAGCAGAGTTCAGGGACCATCAACGTTTGAACGGTGGATCGACGGCTGGTGGCCAGCCTACATCGAAAGTGATGGTAAGTCAGCGGATAGATAGGACTCAAGCGCTGAGTAAAAATTATCGGGTGATCAAGACAGAAAGACGACACGATGGTACTAGGCGTATAGTGCTATGGCCTAATAAAATAGGAAAAGCCTATGAGAGCCAACCTACTACAAAGGTAAGTGTCATAACCTTTGCTACAAAAACGGACCCAGATTACTAGATGAAAAAGGATTGCTCGATAGAAATAAGTTTAAAGAGCAGTTAAAGGAAAGCGAACGTCCGGAACAAATGCATATGTAGCGTCGTGCAGAGAGACAAGTCATACTAGGGTACTAAGGAAATGGTGAGAAATGAACACCTAGAAACGTGAAGCTAACGGGCGTCTGTGTGCTGACCTAGTGAGAGGAGGGAAGAATTAAGAGGCTAAGAAACATTACTTCACGGAAGGGCAGGGAATAGCCAAAATCAAGCGTAGAGTAAGGTTGCTTAGAGTATCAGAGCAGTGATGCCTAACCGCAGCAGCTAGGGTGCTAAGATAATAGTACCAAGCTGGATAGTGCCAGTGAATGCTGGTCCGAGAGTTGTATGATTGTAGGTAATAAGGTCTAAGACAGTACATTAAGGGAGAAATGAACAGTAAGAAGGATGATGCAAAACAGCGGCTTGCGCGGAATACATGGATACGCCTGCACGACAGAAGAGAGCAAAGAAAGTATTCATAAGCAAAGGACAACGAACGGGTGAATCCCAAGCATACGTTAATGCTCTTAACTAGTTTAAAGAAAAATAAGCGACGCAGAGATGCGCAAATAATAAGATCATGCTGTGGTGCTAAAGGAATAAAACTAGAGAAGACTGAGCCGGGAGAAGCTAGTGAGAATGCTAAAATACTATTAACTAGTTGTCATAGACGAGTGACAGCTGTGCATCTAGCAAGGAGCAGCTGTGCACTGACCGGATGAGGTAAGGGAGATCGCCAGACGGGAGCTAAGAAGGTCGGATAAAGAAAGGACAACAAACAAGAAATATGCAAGCGTTCGGTGATTTGATTGAGGGAGTCATATCATATATTGCTGAACCACGGCGGTGTATAAGTTCACAATTCATGCTATGGTGCTGGGATATTACTACTTCGGGAGGAGCCTGGGAATCTAGTCTCACAGCTGGACGCTTACAGGTGAAAAAGTCGAAGACATTACAACAACTAAGAGATACGAAGACGTCTAGTATAGAGAGGCTAAGGAGCCGCTGAGCACCTACTTGGAGAATTGGAAGGAGTGCTAGAGAAAGCTGAAGAGTCTATATGGAAGGACATCAAACGGTCGGAGTGCATGCATACATTAAGTCTGCTGAGGACATCGCAGCATATGAGTCAGAGGCGCGCAGATACTGAGTCCCGTTATGGTGCTAAGCTTTTAGCACTAAGGTAGACTGGGCTGGAAAGTGCTAGTGCAAGGTCTGGGATGCTACATGAGCAGGCGTCACAGCCGTTGCAGCAAGCAACGGGTAAACGGAGTTTAGAAGGGAGAGGCAATGGATCAACTGTGCGCAGGCCACATGAATTATAATTGCTTCACAGAAAAGAATTACGAAAGGTTTAATGAAGTGAGGACAGCAAACGGATGAAGCGCAACCACACGATATTGTTGTTAAATATTTCAGAGCCACGGCATATATACAGTTCCTATTACGTTTATATATATATACAAATATATAGATATACATAATTATACGCATTATGCATCAGTATACACACATCGCTGTAACAGATATATATGTATCCTATATATATATGTATATACATCTATATATATATTTATGTACCAATATATTTACATATATACATAGGTATACATAGATATATTATTACACACATATATATATAGACAGAGAGAGCTTTAAAAGTGTAGTGACCATGACATTTTACTCCATCAAACATTACATTCAGACTTGTACACATTTTGTTTTACTTTGCATCCATCCAAAGCCTATATATACTGGACTGCAATTTTGAACCAGGTCCGCCATCTTGCCCGCGCGTTGCCAGCTGTTGCGCTCCTACGTGGTGTTACTGATTGCTTCACCATTTCTCCCATTGTCCTCAAGCTATATTTACATAGCTTTTGTACTGTGCCGTTTTCTCAAGACAATCTTTATATCCCGCCGTCTTCTGTGTTATTGTGCTACGGATTCCTTGTGTAGCATTCGTCAATGCGCTACATAATTGGTGACCCCGACGTGACCATTCGTTAGAGCGCTATTAACCTTTGCATCCAACCGGGAACACCGCTGAATGATATCTGCGATTGGTGGGAGGTTGCCCGGGACCGAGGCTTGTTGATATCTGGGATGAGGGCCACGGACAAAGGTGGAGAGCACCTCCCATTCTTGTCGTGGGCCAGGAGGTAAACCACGCTCAACCACATCACAAAAGCGTAGGTACCACTGGTGAGGGGTTTCCGTCTGACGCTGACGCATTGAGGCAAGCCAACGAGTCATGCTAACCTCACCTCTCCACATGGTGCCCAAGAAAGGCGGTGACTGGCGGCCCTGCGGAGACTACCGGGCGCTGAACAAGTGCACAGTTGCAGATAGGTATCCCATACCGCACATCCAGGACCTTACAAATAGTCTCGGTGGTAAGTCAGTGTTTAGTAAGATAGACCTAACGCGAGCCTATCACCAGATTCCTGTAGAGCACTGCGATATCCCCAAAACGGCAGTTATAACACCCTTTGGTTTATTCGAGTTCCTTTGAATGCCTTTGGGGTTAAGGAACGCTGCTCAAACATTCCAGCGGTTCATCCATGACGTTACTCGTGGTCTGGACTTCGCATATCCTTACGTGGATGACATCCTAGTAGCTAGCGCCTCTAAGTCGCAACACTTAGAGCTTCTGCGTACTCCAATCCAACGCCTATCTGATCGAGGCGTTACCTTGAACCCTAGCAAGTGCGAACTAGGAAAATCGTCGATCGAGTTCCTAGGTCACCGCATCTCAGCTACAGGTATTGAACCACTGTCTCAAAAGGTAACTGCCATCAAATATTTCCCTGAACCTACATCGCTTAAACAGCTTAAACGTTTGCTTGGGATAGTTAACTACTATAGACGCTTTATTCCGTGTTGTGCTAGGATAATGCAGCCCTTGACTGACTTGCTTCGGGGCAATCAACGTTCGTTTGTTTTTACCAAGTCCGCGAGATTAGCCTTCTCAAACCTTAAAGACGCAATCGCTAATGCTGTTCTCTTAGCATATCCCGTACCATCTGCTCCAATTTCTCTCGTCACTGATGCCTCAGACGAGGCCGTTGGTGCTGTTCTTCAGCAGGCTGTCAACAATACATGGCAACCTTTGGGTTTCTTTTCGAAACGGTTGCAGCCAGCGGGGACACGTTACAGCACCTTCGGGAAAGAACTTCCGGCAGTTTACGTCGCCATCCGTCATTTTCGTCCGTTTCTAGAGGGCAGAAGCTTTAACGTTTTTACTGACCACAAACCTTTATTTTACGCCCTCGACTCGTCATCCGACCGATACTCTCCGAGAGAGATACGCCACCTGGACTGTGTCTCACAGTTTACGTCAGACATACGGCACGTCTCGGGTGTGCAGAACTCCGTCGCTGATGCTCTTTCTCGCGTCAGCTCCATCACGTCCGCTGAAGGTATCGATCTAACCGCAATGGCTGCTGCTCAACAGACCGACCCAGAGCTGGATCAGCTTCGTAATTCTAGTTCCTTGCGCATACGACCAGTTCCACTGCCTACTTCGGATGGAACCATACTTTGCGACGTTTCGCAAAATTCACCACGACCAGTGGTTCCCCAAGCTTTCCGACGCACTGTGTTTGACATTCTTCACAGTTTATCACATCCAGGCATTTGTGCCACAGTTAAGATCGTCACACAACACTTCGTGTGGCGCAACGTCAACCGGGACGTTAGACAGTGGGCTAGTAGGGGCCTTAGTTGTCAACAGTCTAAGGTTCCTCGACACACGAAAAGTCCGCTTGGTTCATATCCACTTCCTGATGCTCGTTTGCACCATATCCATGTTGACCTCGTTGGGCCACTGCCCCCATATAATGGATGCGCTTACTTGCTGACTTGTATAGACCGCTTTACAAGATGGCCTGATGCCATCTCAATGCCAGATTGCTCATCAGACACTGTTGCCCGCGCTTTTCTAGAGCGCTGGGTCTCACACTTTGGTTGTCCTGCCGTTGTGACAACTGATCGAGGTTCGCACTTTGCAGGCACATTTGCTCACCTTCTTCAGACCCTCGGCTGCCGTCACGTCCAAGCGACTGCATTCCACCCTGCCGCCAACGGTATGGTTGAGCGTTTTCACCGCCAGCTGAAAGCTGCACTAAGTGCACATGATAACGCAGACTGGTAAGAAGCGCTTCCCACCGTTTTACTTGGCTTACGAAATACGGTCAAAGTCGATATTAACGCTGCTCCGGTCGAACTCGTTTATGGCTGCACATTGCGTCTCCCTGGACAATTAGTCGCCCCAACCCCGGAGAGGGCATGGAACTACAAGAGCTACATAGCTCGTCTGACGCACCACATGCGTCAGCTGCATCCCGCGAGACCCAGGGAACAAAGCACTCCAGTGCAAGTTCCGAAAGATCTTTCTACATGTTCACACGTTTTCTTACGTGTCGAGCAAGTGAGACAGCCTCTCTCCGCACCTTACACAGGTCTATACAGTTTTATTAAACGGTCTTCAAAAACTTTGGTGATTGACCGTGGGGGTAAAAGGGATACTGTCTCGATAGATCGCGTCAAGCCTGCGTTCAGCGATAAACAACAGTTTGTTCCATCATCGACCTTAACGCAATCTACAGAGCCACCTGTAACGACGCCCTGCTTTTCAGCTCCACCACTACCCCAGTCACCAGATTCGCCTCAAGCTAATACCAGTCACGGTAGAAGAGTTCGTAAACCTGTTCGTTTCTCCGATTTTGTCGAACTCATCCACACCTCATGAATCTTTTTCATTTTCTCTCATCGTTTGTATTATGCTTTTCCGTTAGCAGAATACATATCGGAATCTGTCCCCGAGTTTTTCCCCATCTATCAGGTAAAGTCATAAGGCTGGCACGTTTGGGTCCGTCCGTTCACTGGTTGGCTGTTTCTCAATTGTTTTGGTCGTTTGGATGCTTTGGTCTACCCCCAACGCTTTGTCGGCTCGCCCGCCTACCTTGGCCTTTGGATCGTGGTCTGCTTGGCTCAATTTGGCTCGCTCAGGTCGTTTGTCTGGCTCGGCTTCCTGACTTTGGCTGCTCGTGTGCTTGACTCGTTGTATTTGGTCACCCCACGGCTCGCCGGTACGAACAGGATTTCTGCTTCGTTGTGGCAGTGGATTGGAATGCGGTGGGGGGAGTGACCTCTCCCAAGCGCACCGTCCTTCAGCAGCGGTGAAAGGTCCTACCGGCCCTTTTTCTGGATTATCCAGTTTTTTGTAGTCCGGTGTGCCCGCTGGGACGGCCCACCGATGATGCATCCCAATTCACAAGAAGAATAAATAATCTAAATACTAACCTACTCCTATGGTTCTGCCTTTTTACATCTGCAAGCCAGCAACGATCGAAGTCCTCGTCCCTCGGCCTTCTAGGGGAGGCCTGTGTAGTGACCATGACATTTTACTCCATCAAACATCACATTCAGACTTGTACACATTTTGTTTTACTTTGCATCCATCCAAAGCCTATATATACTGGACTGCAATTTTGAACCAGGTCCGCCATCTTGCCCGCGCGTTGCCGGCTGTTGCGCTCCTACGTGGTGTTACTCATTGCTTCACCATTTTCTCCCATTGTCCTCAAGCTATATTTACATAGCTTTTGTACTGTGCCGTTTTCTCAAGACAATCTTTATATCCCGCCGTCTTCTGTCTTATTGTGCTACGGATTCCTTGTGTAGCATTCGTCAAGGCGCTACAAACCTCATGTACCGTGATTACACATAGACACTGCTTTATCTATCCATTAGCGAGGATTCTCTTCATCATATCCATTATACGGTTAACAACGCCATATGCAAGCTGCACTAGAAGTCAATCCACACTTCCATAAGCCAGCTAGTCAACGCCGACTCCTCTATGTCTTGCAAACTTTACCATACATTCTCCGTATGACTTCTAAGAAATACATGCCGAGGACTTACATAAACCATATTTTACATTCCGTTTCCCTTTTAACGCCTTACTTAGGGTTATATTTCAACTTCTACACTTTTAGTCAACTTTGTACTTAAGCATGGTACAGATCCAATTTCGCATTTTTGGAGGTTTTGAACACCTTGGAAACACGTTGCGAAAGAAATTTCTCCATTAAAACGATTACTTTTCAGAACGCAGAAACAGGTTGTCCTCATGAACAACAGCCTGCATTCAAAATCGCGCCAGTGGCGGATGTGGCGGTCCCGTTTCGACTGCACTGCAGAGGAACTTGTCGGGTAGCCAGCGGAAACTCAAAATGTTTGTTATTTATCAAGCAACACAACTATGCAAGGTCGATGTACACCAATTTGTTGCAAATAGGAATAGAGGGCACAAGAACGATAAATAAATTTACAAGCGCTATATACTTACCAAACATCGTCCATCATTCTCCGGTTCAGCCACTGCTATTTTCCCGATATTTTTGTGTTTTATTATCTGTTTTGCACCTTGTTTTAACCCGTAACTGTTTCGGTTGACTGCTGTGTTGCTAATGGCTTTTTGATTTTACTTTTTGATACATATTTCACACTGGATACGTTGTTGGATTCACTGAATACCGATGCTGATGTGTCGTCGGCTGCGTTAATCTGCGGCTCTAATGCTGTATGCGGCAGCGTGCGCTGCTCAAAGTCATTGGTGGACGAATCTGGCGGCATGCAGTGCTATGTATGCTACTGCTGGGACCATGAGCCCTGTTTCGATTTGAGCCCTGATCAGTGCGCATTGGATGCGACTGGCGATAGCATGCTGTTCAGTTGTCTTCTGGGCCGTCGCCGACGACCTACGCCTCGTAAGGACACTGAGGAGACCTCGAACAACGTCGGGCTGTGTTACCCGCGGTTGTGGGCTAGCTACGCATCTCTTAACCGTAAAGTGGAGTTACTGCCTCTGGACGTTTTTCTCATGATCTTGACATCCTTACAAGCATCCATTCATCAGTTTGTACAAAGGCTAACTAGGTTCATGGAGGGCCAAAAGCTTTCCATTTTAACCCTCATCTTTGCGAAATTGCTGAACTTTGTACGAGATGTAGTGTAGGATTCCCCTTGGGCGCTAGTGATCACGTCTGCTTACTATTCAAATGCGTCTTAAGTCGGGGACGTGAAGAGTGTATTGTCAGGAGGCCAAATATCTGGCGCGCTGATTTTCAAGCCATCAGGGACAAGGCTGCAAATCAACCCTGTATCGTGTCAGAGGATGATACCGTCCCGGTGGCTTGGGACGTGTTCAAATCCTTTCTTTGCGA